AGGGTAGGGGTGCAAATTGGAACGAAATTTACGAATTCACCCGATTCCGATTCGAATATTTTCGATTATGGAACAGTACCTTTCATTCCGAAATCCAATTTTTCCCCAAAAATAAAATATTGGAACGGGATTGGTATGCATATTAGATACCAATTTCCAATCCGATTTAATTTCTTAAAATATTTCTGAAAATTCCGATTTATTACGCTTCAATACCAGTATTATTATGTATTTTATCCTGATCCGAAAATGTTCGGTTTTGGAACAAGTTTTTCATTCCGATTTCCGGGTTTTTGATTTTTTCAAAATGGAATTGGAATTAGTTTAAAACTTCCGATTTATTTATTTTTTAATTTTTTCTTACCGAAAGTACTAATTTCAATCTGATCCGTCCGAGTTACATCCCTACACAAGAGCCAAGAGGTAATAAAATAATACATCTTTAAATATTATTACCATGAAGTTCGAGTTCAGCGGAGTTCAATTTAGACTGAGCAGGCCATTTCCTCCTTTCTTCAATCGGAATCCACCGACGGCTCTGAGTACCTCCAATGCAAGACTGGAGCGGCCGATAATACGGTGACTCATTGTCATGCCCCTTACTGCAAAGAGGTGAGCCAGCTTTCCTAGAGAGAGAAGAAGCAAACATATACAACATAAGAAATATACGATGATCCTTTGCAATTTAGTTGTCCTAAAATGAATAATATGCCTTACCTTGCTGAATAGCAATTCTTCTTACTAGTCTTCTTCCACACAACAGTGTCATCTTGCTGAGGCAGCATCTCCCAGCAGAGATTCTCTGTCAACAAACGGACCGTATTCCATTTCTTCAGATTTGCTTTATCTCGAACCGAACGCTGAGAATTTATAAGCGGGTCGGTCCACACGAAATATCCACCAGGTCGCAATAACCGGTCAACTTCGAACAAGTATATTCCATCTGAGCCACACGAGAAAAAAAAAAAAGATTCGGTAATGAAAGAAAAAAAATGGAAGGTAAAAAAAAACAATGAGAAATAAGGGAATGGAGATTTGACCTTTTTTATCCCAGTCAACGTGACATCTAACACAGTGTATCATGTCGAAAGAGAGCGATGGATATGGTAACTGCTTTGAAGTGAACGAACCGATAATTGCGGGGAGACCTCGTTCGAGGGTTAGTTGAACTTGACTGCCTGATGCCTCGTAGTTTGCTAGGCACATTGTCAGTAGTTGGTTCGACGATAGATGCGCACCTAAACTACCGTAACCGCATTCTATGTCCAAGATTGTTCGAACCTGAATAAAAATAACATAAATGTTGTCTGATAAGCATATATTGTGATTGAGTCATCAATACAAGAACAAGTATTTAAAAGATAGTCCGTAATTGAGTTATATTTAGTGGGTTGAAGCAAATTCAGACAAACATGTAGCAAAAGCAAAAACCAAAATCAAGTAACAGCTACCACTGTAAAAACCTGCACATATACCCGAAATGCAGGCATCTACATACATAATATTCATCGGCAATCCGAAAAACAAACAGAAACACAACAGCTGTAAAGAGATAAGAAAACATAACTAAGAGAAGAGAAGTTATATCATAACGAAAACAATTCGGTGTTTTTCAACTTACTCCGGCTTGTGTAAAATAAGATACATTCCTAAGCCCAATAATTTCCGCAATTTGATGCGCGTAGTCTTCAACATCAGAAAACCCCGAACGGAAAGAAATTTGATCTTCATCCACCATCATCATTCTATACATACAACAAAAATACATCAGATGCCACCACCGAATTGCTATTCGATAATTAAAAAGAGACAGTTCTTTGACCTACCTCCTAGTCAAACTGCCAGAAGAAAGCACCTCCTGTGCAGTAATGTTAACATTAGCCAACCAGATAACATCTCTCCCCGAAGGCCAACGAAGGGGAATCCTATAATTAAGAGGTGGCAGAACCAAGCAGCTCTGTTTCGAACCGGGCCCACAATGGCGGTCAAACTCTTCACCGTCCGATAATCCCAGAGCAAGATTTTCCGAAACATTGAAGCAAGGCACGTAGTTCAAAGACTCCATCGAACAGTACTCCAATTCTCTCATCCTCGAAAACCCTAGAGAGAGCTCCCCGATTTCATAAAGATCTGTCACCACTTGCTCTTGGAGCCGCCTATACCCTCTAAATATCTGCCCCCTCGAAGTGGAAGTTATAGAAAGCGTCCAATAAAACGAACCGGTGAGAGCGAGAATTACGATCACGACTAAACTCAATTTGAGGAAAGAGAGCGTCACTTTATGGCGACTCCTTGTGGGGCCGGGGCTGAAGGGATCCGACATGAAACTGTTCTCGTTCAGACCGTGCTTCGAGGATAAATTGTCCGGGAAGAGGTATCGAAATAGAAACTTGATGGACGAATGAGTGTGGTCGGCTCCGTTTGTACGTTTCGGATCCACGTCCTCCTTATCCGGGCGTTCTTTCATCTGAGAATCTTCCCATAAATCATGACTGTTTGCTGAAAATCGCCCGCCGCCGCTACCGCCTAATACACCCCGGTGAAGAGGCCTCGACATTTTAAACCTATAACACAACCCCACAAAGAAACAATTACTGTAATCATTAGACACAACCCAAACCGTGATTCCTTGTTATTAAAAAAGCAAAAAACATGAAAGAGGCAACTCAGTGGTCTGAATTAGATCTGTTTCAAGAAATTGAAATAGGTCCCCTACCTAAACTAACAACTCACACACTATGATTGAATAGCAATTACATAAAACTGAAAGCAGAGGGATTATACAAGTAATGGATAATAGATTAAGTTCGAAGGTACTAGTGATTAGTTCTTGCCTTAAGAAGAAAGAAACAGCAGATAAGAAAAGCTGACTGAAACTGAAAATCACTTCACTTCAGTCACTCCGGATAATAAGAACACAAACCCGGAAATTAAAAAATACCCATTTGGATCAACATTACGAATGCAATAAATCTCTTCGCCACTGAATTAAAAAAAAATAAACACAAACGAAAGCAGTTGCACAAAGCAACGTTTTCCCCAATTTTTGCAGTGGGTTACCTGAAAAGATGCAACAAATTCACCGAACGGAACGAATAAACAAAATTAAATCCCTCAATTGTAGGCTATTCCGTTGCGGGTTTTCATGAATTTCTTACGAACCCAAGATTTGTCCTCTTCTCAGCTACCCACACCATTGCTTTCATTAGGAAACACACACACACACAGAGAGAGAGAAGAAAACACGCACTTCCTCCCAATTCCCCTCTCGGCACCTATTTCCTTACGCGCTTTCAGGAACTAATTTCAGAGAACACCGACGAGAGAGAATCCGCGAGAGAGAGAGATAGAGATGAATATAGCGGTGTATCTATATTTTATATATACATACACGCAGTAAGTGTGAATATGGCTACTGCGGATCCAATCTCAGACAGAGGCCCGCTCGTGAGAGACTGTTCTTTCATCTATTTGTTACCCAGTAATTAATCTATTAATTAAATATACTCCGATTATTTATCTGATTTATTTAAGGTATTACATTAATTATTTAATTTAATAATATTATTTAATTGTTCATTAAATACACACCCCCAAATAGGCCAGCTTGAAACTATAGTTCGATCCCAGCTGTACTTACTCTTTTTTACTTTTAAGTAGGGCTTAATTAATTAATTGCCACATTTAATTTGAGAGAGACAATCAGCTCATAATCTCAATGATTGTAAATTATTAGCGATAAAAAAATATATATATACTTTGTTATTTTATTTTATTTTTAATAAATAAATTTAAAAGAAAAAGTTTTTAAAAAAAAAACACTAATTGAAATTTTAAACATTTAGACTCATTTAATTGAATTTCATTGGAATTTAATTTTTTTTAAATAAAATATATAAACGGAATGTATATTCTAGGCTTGTAGAAACTCGAATTTCCAGCTAGCAAAAGTTAATGCAGTCCCTTTCGAATTTCCATTATAGAGGGGCATGGTTAAAGCCTTTCTGAACCACGGCGTAATTGGAAATAAAATACCTTTTTTATCTTTTGTTGGAGTAATAATTGTGTACGGTTAAATATATTTCACAGTTATACACCCTGAATTATATTTAAAATTGACTTTTTACTTGGTATATAATAGTAGCAATTTGCTAGTAGCTCAGTAATTAGTGCACTTTAATTAGTAATATTTTATTTTTATTAAACGTACTTCAAGAGACAGCACCTTCTTTGATTAAGTAAAGGAATTTACTCGGTAATTTCAATAAATTATTAATTCATAAAAAAGAATGCATAATTTCAGGGAAATAATTAATTAATACTAATTAGAGTTTGTATATAATAATAGGAGTCACATGCAGGTCCATTTGTTTTCGTAGGCTGGGTGGGACCCACCTTGGACTGCGTGTGTCGGTGGTGAGTGAAGACAGTCCGATTGACGTGTCGGCTGTGGTGTGAATGGAGTATGGTACAACGCGTGTGGACTGCTGCACTGGATCACACACTCTCCTTTGTGAGAGTGACGTGTCCTTTTCTGGTGATGGTGATTCTATTTCTACGGATGCGATCATGTGGCTGATCACGCCATGTCACTATTGGGAAAATTCGGATATATGATTTTATTTTACTTTTGTTTTTTTCATTTATTTCTATTTTAAATAAGTTGAAAATGCTACCCTACTAAATTTATACGCTACAAAGTTATAGAATTCAGGATCATACTAGAAAAATAGAAATTAAATAATCAGATGTAACACATCAATTAAATTTTATGGTGTCAAGATTAAAAAAAATAATAAATAAATTAAAATCTAGAATAAAATATAATATATTTAAACTAAACAAGTCAACAGTGATGAATAAAATCAGTAGGAGTGTGTATCCATCCTGGCTAGTTTTGTTTTCAATGAATGGACAAATATTTAATTAATTATAATGAAACCAAATAAAATACTTAAAATAAAATAAAAATAATAATTAATGGAGATGGACCTCGGTATGGCCTTTTTATTTCTTGGGGTTAGTCAAAATATGAAATCTAGTTCACATGACTTTATGATGTGCTGCATGTTCTTTGTGCATCAGCCCTTTGACCCCAAACTTTACCCAAGGCCCACTACTATTTTTCGATTTTTTTTTACTTTTTTATTTTTATTTTTTTGTTTAATTTTTTTAATTTTTTTTACATATTTTTTTTTAATTTTATTTCTTCAATATAACGTCGCATGAATTTTCTCAATACGGTATGTGCTACATGGAGATTTTATTTGAATTAAAAAGGGACTTTCCAAGAAAAGTCAACTTTACTAGTGTGTTTAAAAAGGTCATCATAAATGTTGCTTTAATTATAAGTATGAGACTAAGCTCACAGTTTGCATGATTAAATGTTCCTACCAATATTTTCCCCCACTAAGATGCCTTTAATTACCATGTTCTCCCTCTATTTCATCTCTTTAAAAAAAAATTCATATTATGTTACACTTTATAATTCTAATTCTGCATTGACTGTATAATTTACGAGTTTACCTTTATTATCTCTCCAACATTATCTTTTATTAATTTGTGAATAAGGGCATTTTAGTCCATCTACAAAACTAAAAAAATGCTACTCATAAAGGTACATAAACAATATATAAATTCTATTTAGTATATCACATTGATGTGACTAATTTACAAAGGATATAATTTACAAATTTAGTATATGTAATTAGTAAAATTATTTTCATGACACATATGTGATAGTGATTAAGGCATATAATAATATGTTGTTATCATTAATACTCATTATTCGTATATTGTATTCTTATATTATTCGTGTCCATTTCCAAATCTAGTATATAGATAACCTATTGGCCATTAATTTATTTATTTTTATTATAAAAATAAATTTATTTTGTTAGATAAGAAAGAAAGAAAATTATATATATATATATATATATATATATATAATGACAAAGATCTTTCAGATGAATGTCAATTGTCAAGAGGGGCATACCCGTGAGAAATAAGCTACTTTCAAAACGCGCTTTCACAACAATTATTTTTGTCGTAATAAATCGTCACTTGGAATATATTCTATTCTTTAATTGACATTATTTCAATAATAACTCTTTGTCCGTGGAATAATAGGTTACGAGGTCACAAGTTAGGCATTTGTGGATTTTTATTTATATTTATAAATAAAAAATATATAAAAACTTTTATTAGGAATATTTCAAATCATAGTACTTGTCAAGCTATTTGTCCATTAGTACTTCTTCTAGAAATAAATTGAGTTTATTTTATAAAATTAATTCAGCTGATTGTTCAATACTCATTTTCGACAACATGTTATAATAACATGACATACATGTTTTTCTCCAACTATATAATATAAATATTGGGAATAATATTTATTAACCAATAGAGAAAACTTTTGGCCAATTTTGCTACACTAATTTTCCCCTTCTTTGTTTTCGTAACGGTTAATTATGAAATGGGTCATCTATACTGGATAATTTTCAATCATCAATGAGGTCAAATAATCGCGCACTTCGTCTAATTTTGTGCAAATTAACAGTTAAAAGTCAAATAAACCAATTACAAAACCTATGTCTTCAATTTTTTTTAATAATAATATGATGATGATTGGTATAGTGACGTGGAAAATATAGGGCCACACCTATCTATAAGAAGGTCCTATAATTCAAATATGCATGTGAGATGTTTTAATGAAATTTATTCCAATGATATGGGGCATACATCTATCTAATCTAATCTAATTTTTTTTTTGTAACAATACGTGACTTGTCTATTTCAATGCCTAGTCGAACCAATCATATAATTTATTTAATTATCTTAGTCTTTCTTTATGTCCCGTCCCTCCTAAAAAAAAGTCCTTAATCACAATTAATTGTACTTAAATAAAGGGCAAATTACGGTCACCCCTAAAGTATGACAAAATTACGAAAAAAACCCCTCCTTACGAAAAATCATATATTCAGTTTGATGTTGGCATACCAAAATTCTTTTTCGGTTTTACCGATTTAACATCCATAAATTTACCTCTTGAGAGGTATTTTCGTAAGATAATACATAATTAATAGTTAAAAGGGTGACTGTAATTACCCAAATAATAGGGAGATTTTCGTAATTTGACCATAACTCAGAGGATGGCCGTAATTTGCCCTAAAAAAAATAATATTAAAATTAATGAATTGTAGGATAAAAATTTATAGATTGAATATATATTATTACCGAATTACGTGTATAAATATTGCAAGAGTCTTTATACTAATTGGTGTTGCATAATGAGAGAAAAACAATCACTAAAATACGAATGTGTAACAATGAATTGGAAGATATGCTTAGTGAAAGGGGCAGGAACCAACCACATGCGGCATTAATTGCAACATTGCAATCTATTTATGAAACATTCATGAATATGTACATGTATGTGAAAAAAGTATTAAACACCTAAGATATAATGAAACAAGCACGTGACAATATTTATTTACATCTGGAGTACATGGAAGTTTTTGAAGAGCCCCAATCAAGTTTCTCCATTATTACCCAATCGTGAATTAATTTGATTCACAGGCCTCAAATTCAACACTATTTTCCGGCCCAATCATCTAATTGGGCCTTAAAACATTAGAATGTTGTCAGAATATTTGTGTGTTTCTTCCCATTTGAGATTTTATTTAAAAGTTAAATCGGTTTAATCAGCTTCTAAGTTTCTTTCGACTAATTTCATATACGGTTAGGTTTCCAGTATTATACGCTGAACACTTCAATTTTTCTTTTTAAGTTTCACTTATAGTTAGCTATCTATCCACCTGAAAAAGTTTGAAATGCTAATTGTAAGCGAAACTAAAAGGAGAGAGTGCAGTGTTCAAAGTATAGTATTGAAGGATGAATTGTATATGAAACTAGGCAAAACAAAATTTACGAACTAAAACCCCAAAGTTGAAACCACAAAAATTACAACATAATAGTTGTATTAAACTTTAAAGTAATTGTTAGTTATTTCAAATTCATTTTCGTTTGATAATAAGGACCATTTATACATGCAGTCCGAAACAGTACTAGTATTCGAAAATATCACAAAAATTCACTATATATTAAGCTAAGATAACACATAGAAATCCAAAAAGGAAGTCTTCTTCCAAATTAGGGAAAACAAATTATCATGATTAAATTTAATTTATCCTCCAAATTCCTTTAAAATGCATATATTGTGACTATATAATTTAAATTAAAAAATTGCAAAATTTGAAATAATTGGTATTTTCCAAAACATAGAAACGTCAATCTAATTTTGGTAAAGATAGAATCATTTAACAAACCTAATAGTAACATTGATACTTACTTCTTTCCATTTTTCTTTTTTGAATTGGAAAGAGATAGTTTTGGACACATTTAAATAAATAATAGAATTAAAAATTACGCAATTAATACAATATTAAAATTATTACATGCATGCATGCCCACGCATTCATGATACATAACATTCAATCCACATTACATAAACACAAAACACACAAGAAAACCGTGTTATAAACTCAAAGAATCCAATCCAGGAAAATAAAAACATACAAATTGGAATATTACAACAAACCGAGGGCCCGACGATGATTAAAAGTAGGCGGCAGCAGCGGTAGAGGGTCCATGGCCGGAACCAAAGGAAGCGACGTGGTCTTTAAGCGACCTCTTGTGCTTAAAATCGGAACCGCAGACGCAGAGCCACCGCTTGCCGCAGTTCTTCTCGTGCGTCCGCCAGTCGCCTTTCACGGCCAAACACTTGCCGCACTTCCGGCAAGAGAATCTCTTCGTCCCGTGTTTCCTCTTGTAATGCGTTTGCAGCGTCCGGAAATCCTTCAGCGGTTTCGCCCTAGGGTGGTTTATGTTGTTCCTGCACCCTTCTTCGCAGCAATAGCACGGTATTCCGACCATGATACGTGGCTGACTCCCCTTCAACGAATCCGGGCCCCGCCGGAACTGCGAGCCGTGTCCCCACATGTGCATCTGATCGCCATATTCAAGAATTCGTATATATATATGACCTAGTTCAAAAACCCTAATTGCATGTCTTTGTATTTAATTTTTTTGTGTGTGCTTATTTAGAAATAAAAAAAATTATATATTCAAATTTAAGGGTTTATTATTGAATTAAAAAACCGTTATTTTATTTTTCACAAACTACCCCTAAAAACTCATTTTTTTTTATTATAAGGATATTTGCCAATAAAGTAATAACATGAGGAATTTTTTAGCAATTCGATATAATTGCAATAAATTTTTGAAATTAATATTAATTTAATTAATGAAAAGCATACTTAATTTATAATATGGTGAAGCATGCACACCTGGAGATTATTGTAGCGATTGAAGGTTTTCTTGCAAATGTGGCAAGAGAAATGAGTGAAGCCAACCAGGATTTGTGCAGGTGTAGGTATCCAGTACGGACAGCTGCTCTTTTCTGCTGAATTATTCGCATCGAATTTCTTGATACTATCATTTGTCGAGCAATAATCAGGAAGCCCGATATGCAGAGCCACCGCAGCAGAATCTTCGTTTTCGTTTTCATCGGCAAACAACTTCGAAAATTTGATGGAAGATTTTGTCGATGACGATGTTGAGGAAGAAGAAGATGAAGATGAAGAAGACGGTGATTTCTTCGGAAAAAAATCGTAAGCTTCGATACGGTCTTTGTGGTAAATAGGGTTAAAAGAAAAAATATTATTGCTGGCTAAATTTTTACTCGAAGAACCCTCCATGCTAATCTTGCATTATATTTCAAGCTAAGGCCTCTTATATATATATATATATATATATATATATATATATATATATATACATATTGCATATATATGTATTACACCTAGAATTTAACCTAGGTTGAATAGTAGTTACATATACATATATATATGTATGTAATATGTATATGATATATATGAAAGATTGAGAATATAAGTTGGTTGAGTGAAAACAACCTCATGTGTTAAGAGGGGATATAGGGTTTATTATCTGCTGTCTGTGTAAAACATCCTCTTTTGGTATGATAAAACACAAACCTTAAAAACTGCTTTAATTGATCTGGGGCCAGGGTGGGGGGGTATTTCCATTTCTTGCATGAGCCATGCACCAGTAATTTTTTTATAATTTATGGCACAATCCCATGTATATATATGTGTGTATATATATATATATAATATGTACATATGTCACAATTTAATTATGTGGTTGCATGAGGGATTAAACTATGACTTAACATAGAAAAATGGGCGGCTAGAATATTGTGGTCCTTTTCTCATTTATGTTAATTTGTTATGGTTTATTATCCAGATTTCAGTGCGAATTGATTGTGGTGCAAGAATAAGTATATATATATATATATATATATATATATATATATATATATATATATATATATATATATATATATATATATATATAAACCTGAATTTAGCTACGTCTTTTAAGAGTTGCAGGTTGCATAAGTTTGCCTTTAAAAAAAATCATGCAATTTTTATTTATGAGAGTGATAGTTATTATATATACTAGTTATGGGTAAACAATGTTGTATGAATTTTATTGCAGTGAGTTTTGTCCTTTTAATGACAAATTTCTTTGTGTATGAAGCTATATATGTATGCCAACTGGATTTCAAAATTTTGATTTTCTGTAACGCACTCACTCACTCGTCGATCTAGTTTAGTTTCCGTATTATATGAGGTCTCGTCTGATTGTTAAGATAGGATGAGTCTCGATCAATAATGGATTATACCTAAATTTCACACTTTACACACTGCGCAAAATAATATCATCTGTGATACCGAAAATAGGTGCGCAATTAAACAAAAAAACGAAACAAGAAACAGCAAAAACTAAAAGGAAGGTAAACGCGTACGTGCAAATATATATATCCATGTAATTATTTTAAGGAGGGGAGAGTTTATTCTTCCCCATACGATTAATACATCAATTTAGGTAAATAAAAAAATATTGGCTTTCAAGAATTCTTTGTTAATATGAACCATCATCGACTTCAGAAAACCGAGGGAGGAAAAAAAATGGTTACAAGATAGAGGAAGAGAACAGAAAATTAATTTAGTTTTCCGAATAAATTTTTCTTTTTCCATGTTTGATTGGCCGAATTCGTTGTTCTAAGCAGAAGGACTTGTTGAAGTAGCAGGGCCAGCTTCTGTTTCTGTTGGAGTTTGAATTGGAACACCTGATTCTCCTAACAAATTTAAATTAAAAAATAAAATAAAAAATAAGCACACATATTAATTTTATTATTTAATCTTGCATGAAATTATAATTTATTGTAAAGTTTTTTTTGTCGCAGTAACTTTTTTGTAAAGATGTAATTCTGGAAAAATAAAATTAGCATGCTAAATAAAGTTTTCGGACGTTAGATGCGACGAGACGACTGTAATAATAATAGTAATAGTGACATCTTATCTTATATTATCATACCAAAAAAAATCAAAAAATAGTATATATGTAACAAAATAAAATAAAATAAATAAAATGGTAAATGAAAATTATCCAAAAAATAAAAGACAACACTACTACACCTATGTTGCCTCAATTTTGTCTGAAATGCACATGGTGCCACAATAAGTTCACTGCCATGCCTCTCTGGCATAAATGCCCCTTTGACCCATTTCATTTGGTCTTACCACTAAACTTTTTGTACAGCTCTTTGTCACGTGCTCAGTGTCACTATTCTTTTTCTTTTTTCTTTTTTCTTTTTTTAATTAAAAAATTTAAAATTTATTATTACTACATATATATATTGAGAAATAATTATTGCACGGGGTATAAATTTAATGATGTAATAATGTCATGTAAAATTTGCAATGATTATATATACTGAATCGGAGATGAGGGAGTTGAATATAATGATTGTGTACACGTACCGGAGGTGGTGGAGGGCGGCGGAAAGGAGAGTCTTGTTGTTGGTCGGAGTACTAAAGGAGGTGGTGGTGGTGGAGGAGGAGTGTAGGTGGAAGAGGAGGTGGGGTCCACCTGCGCAGGATAGTAAAGATAAGAAGGTCCTTGGAAACGCTGCGCCGCCGCCGTTGCCTGGCCGGGTATGGAAAAGGTGCCGCCCCGTGGTGCGTGCATTGAGTATCCATAGTAATATGGTGCGCCCATTGTTGATGATGGTGAACCCGCATACACCTGATTATAATACTGCTGCGTTTGCTGGACTTGCTGATTATACATTGTCTGTCCAAATTAATTTTATAAATTATTATTGTATGTTAGAATAATAATAATTAAAAAAAATATTGAGAGTTGAGATCGTGAGAGGAACGAACCTGGTTATAACCATAATCAGTTGGGTAAGTTGCATACCTGAATAATATAGTATAAAATGCATCAATATATAAATTACTAATTATATTTTTTTTAGTAATTATTGATGATTTATAAAATCGTAAATGTTAATGATAATTACACACACGTTAATTATTGATAAGCTATTTTTTACGTGATTAATAGTATTTTTGAATTATATTCTGTAAACATTAAAAAAAACATAAAAAATCTACAATTGTAACCCAATTTATACCATCAATTCGCTTGTTATATATTGTTCATCTGCCAATAACTACTGCATTCAATACATTTCGGCTTTATTTATTTGTTTTAATTTTCACTTTTTTGAATTTTATTTATTTATATACTACATATTAAAATTTAAAAAAAAATGAATAATAAAAGTACCAATGTCCCCACCCTATGGCTGCAATATATTGTGCAAAATGGCCCACCAGCTATATTATTATACATACAGGGAGACCAATTGGCCAATTAATCACGTACCCGTAAGGTGGATAAATCGCCGTGGGTGGCGGCGGCAGTGGCGCCGGA